CTTGCGACAGGGTCTCGTAGTGTCGAGGTCTTTGTTACCTCGGAATTTTGGCCCTTGGGCTCTGGGAGCGGCTTACAGTCAGCCCAATTCGGTAGCTTATAGGTAATATCGCCTTAGGTTGACGATGTTCCAAGCTCGGGGTATTTGCCAACCCTCCAGGGTCTCGAGCTCGTACGCTCCTTCGAGTGCTCTCTTTACTCGGTAGGGTCCTTCCCAGTTCATCTCGAGTTTGCCAACGCCGGGCTCAGGTTCCATGACCTTGCGGAGAACCAGGTCGCCAATGCGGAAATTCCGCTTCTTGACTCTAGTGTTGTAGTACCGAGCTACCCTTTGTTGGTACGTTGTAGCTCTAATGTATGCGAGGTCCCTCACCTCGTCAAGCAGGTCAAGGTTGGTACGTAGCTCGTCGTTATTGGTATTGTTGTTGTATGCTTCCAACCGAAGTGAGGGGATTTCGATTTTGGCTGGGATGACTGCCTCCGTGCCATAGGTGAGGTTGAAGGGAGTTTCTCCGGTGGCGGTTTTCTCTGTAGTTCGGTATGCCCATAGAATGCGGGGCAGCTCGTCCGCCCATAACCCTTTAGCTCGGTCTAGCTTGGCCTTTAGTCCGCGGAGAATAGCTCTGTTCGTGACTTCTGCCTGACCATTTGCTTGTGGGTGCGTGACTGACGTGAAGTTTTGCCGGATCCCCATGTTTTGGCACCACTCTTGGAATTTGATGTCTTCGAACTGCTTGCCATTGTCGGAGATCAGTATCCGAGATAGCCCGAAGCGACACACTATGTTCTTCCAGAAGAAATTCTAGACGTTTCGAGTTGTGATTGTTACGAGAGTTTCAGCTTCAACTTACTTTGTGAAGTAATCTACCGCCACTACTAGGAACTTCCTCCCACCCATTGCTGGCGGGAATGGCCCGAGTAGGTCGATGCCCCACTGTGCAAAGGGCCATGGGCTGGAGAGATACTTGGGGTTGGCGGTAGGCTGGTGGTGAACATTGGCGTGCTTCTAACACTTATCGCATTTCCTGACTAGCTCAACGGCGTCTACTTTCATTGTTGGCCAATAGTACCCTTGTCGTAGTGGTTTTTGAGCGAGGGCCATGCCCCCTAGGTGCCCACCACACAGGCCTTCATGAATGTCATGGAGTACAAGCTTGGCTTCGAGAGGCTGCAAGCAGCGCAGGTAGGGGAGTGTGTAGGATTTTCGGTACAACCGTCCGTCTATTATGACGTATTTAGCTGCCTGGCGCTCTACCCTCCTAGCGGCGTTGTGGTCTGCGGGGAGGGTTCTATGTAGCAGGAAGCTCGCGAGTGGATCGATCCAGCTCGGCTATGCTTGGGTGATAGGAGCGACCTCCTCTGCCCCCCCGAGAATGCTAGGCTGAGGTAAGTCCTCTATGTACACAGTTCTCATGGTGTTGTCACTGGTGCTGGCTAATCGGGACAGCGCATCGGCCTCAGCATTCTCTGACCTCGAGATTTGCCTGATGAAGTGTGACTGTAAGTTAAGCAGAGCCTCCTTTACTTTTGCTAAGTAGGCGATCATGGTTCGCGGGCTTTGTATTTGTCTGTAACTTGGTTGACCACAAGCTGGGAATCGCTATAGATAACTATGTGTTTTGCTTTTACCTCTTGTGCCAGGGCTAGCTCGGCTATCAACGCCTCGTATTTCACCTCATTGTTGGATGCCGCGAACTCGAAGCGTAGTGCGTACTCCAATTTCGTGCCACTTGGGTCGTGGAGAACTACACCGGCTCCACTGCCCTGCGGATTTGAGGAGCCATCTACGTGAAGGATCCAGGGCTCTTCATCCCAGTTCGCACTTGGCCTAACCAGGATAGATACCGAACTGGGTGCGACCTCCCGGTGCTTGAACTCAACCGGCCTGGGAGCACCGAGTTCACCCGAACTAGGAGCCTCGTGCTCAACCGGGCTAAGGACCCTAGAGTTGAATGTGCATTTTGCAACAAAATCTGCCAAGGCTTGGGCTTTGATAGCAGTTTGTGGCTTGTATTGGAGGTCGTACTCAATGAGTTCGATGGCCCACTTCGTCAATCGACCAGAGACCTCGGGTCTGAGCAATACTTGCCTCAACGGTTTGTTGGTGAGGACGATAATGGTATGGGCTTGGAAGTACGGACGGAGTTTACGGGCCGCAATGACCAGCGCATAGGCTAGCTTTTCTATCTCTGGAAATCTCATTTCTGCTCCCTGCAATACTTTACTAACATAATAGATGGGTCGTTGGACCCGATCTACTTCCTTTATCAGTACCGAACTAACCACTTCGTCGCTTGCCGAGAGGTACAGTTCTAAAACATCGCCCTCTTCGGGTCGGGTCAAAACTAGGATACTTGCGAGGTATCTTTTGAGCTCGTCAAACGCGAGTGGGCATATTGGGTTCCACTCGAACCCTTTGCTTTTTATTGCCTTGAAGAAGGGCAGGCAACGGTCTGCCGATTTGAACATGAAACGACTTAGAGCGACTATTCTGCCATTTAACCTTTGAACCTCTTTTATTTTTCGGGGTGGTCTCATATCTAGTATGGCCTTTATTTTGTCCGCGTTGGCCTCAATACCGCGCCGGTTGACGATGTACCCTAGGAACTTACCCGAGGAGACACAGAAGACACACTTGTTTGTGTTTAGTTTCATGCTAAATTGACGCAAAACTTGAAAGACAGAATGCAAATCTTGTATTAATTCATGTGAAAACTGTCTTGACGACCATGTCGTCTACATAACATTCTATCTTTGTGCCAATTAAGGGTTGAAACAGCTTATTCACAATCCTTTGAAAGGTTGCCCCCGCGTTTTTCAGTCCGAAGGGCATAACCTTGTAGTAGTATAGGCCGAACTCGGTTATGAAGGTGGTTTTTTTCTCGTCGGTCGGGTCTATCCTGATTTGGTTGTAGCCCGAGTAGGCATCCAGGGAGCTTACCAACTCGTGTCCTGAGGAGAGGGCTACCTGCTTGACAGCAAGGTGCCAGGTAGCTGTGGTTGGATCTGAGGCAGTTGGGGGAACTGTTGTTGGTAGTGGTACTAAGAAATGTGGTGTAGTACTTGCTGCTGATGAAGTTGGTGTTGTTGAAACTGTTGCATTTGGGTTTGCATGGCCCGCATGCATTGCATCAAGTTATCAAGCTGATTTTGGCTGGTCGCCAGAGGGACAACGGTCGGTTCGGCGAAGGTTGTCTCGATAGAGGGGGGAAGGGGAACATTCACAGGCGCCACTGTTCGTGGCGCATTGAGGCTAGGGATTCCGTCCGCCGAGAGGGGGACGGTGAACTGTCCGATGCATATGGTGGCGGGCTGAGGGTGTTCTCCTACAGCATTCTGGTCGGTGTTGCGTCTGCCACTGCCGGAGGAAGCCATGAATGCTAAGTTTTCTTTCTGAAGAGAGTTAAAGGTTAGGGGAGGCTTTTTGAAGTCTTCCCACAGACGGCGCCAAATGATGATGCACGATCCGGTCGGTCTTAGCTGTCGGTAACCTTGCCTCTGGCGGAGTTGAAGATGCCTAAAACAAGGAAGAAATTGGAGATTTCCGGGGAAGAACCCGGTGGGAATACTCCGAAGCTCAAGTTAATACTCTTGAGAAGGCAAGGGAAAATAAGAGATTTCAAGACTGGAAAACACAAATATCACATACATCTTTCTCTGGGGGGAGAAGGTCTTTTATAACCACCTGGTGCACTCACTCCCAAGTTTTTGCCAAGTCAGGTATAACCGTTTCT